CAAACAACCCTCAAAGTGATCCGTTGTAAGCTTGCTGCGATGGGGGCTAACGGTATGCTGCTTGTGTGAAAACATGTGGCTCACATTGGTATGTGGATATCAAATGCTGATAGCAATGGAAAGGCTACTTTCTTCATGCAATTGAATTTATCAGACAGTGGTGTCCAGGAACTTATTATGGAGGCTGCATGATCATTCACAGTAGATTCCAATATTTCTTGATTCTAAAATTTAGCTGATCATATTAAGACTTTTTTTTTTTTCTCTCTCTCTCTCTCTACCATATCATTTTGTTGTTTAACTTTTTTCTTTGCTGCTCTGAATCACATAATGTGTCACAGACAAGTGCTCTGCATGCCAAGTCTGGCACTCGTGCTAAAGGTTGCCGACCTCTGCTCTATGTGATTAGAAATCATTGAATATTTTTTTTTTTCATTTCACTTTTAAACCCATTGGTTGCGGTATTTTGCAATATGACGGCGCAAAGGACTGTGCTGGAGAGGTGCTGGCGGTGCTGCTTTCCCTCTTTCGCGCATATGTTTGTTTGTGTATATATGAAGAAATGTTTGCAAAAGTGTATATAAACCCTTACAAATACATGCAAGCACGCAAACATACGTAAATGCGCTCAGAAAGAGTGGAGGGCCTGGTATTAGTACACACCAAAGGCGTTCGACTCCTTTGGCAGGCAACACCCCATCGTCCAGGCAGGACTGCTAGGGGGACACCGGCTTGGCGGCTGATATCCCCTGGCCAGTTAAGCTCCCAGGCCATGCAGCTGCCTGTTTCTTCAAGGGATCAGCTGTCAATTGCACTGTGTATCATATGATGCCATCCGCGTACAATATGAACCTACAAACTACATTCATATTACCAATAGTAGCTCATTTTAACCAATCTAAGGAAGCCAGTACTAATTTGATACTTTTCTTCTATGGTGATTTATGTGCACGCTAAATCTATACCAACTCGTACAAAGACAAAGTTGCGGTAAAAGCAAAATTACCATACGTCCCTAAACACAGCTTCAGAGACCTAATTTTCTCTGTGTTTAATAGCTTCAATTAGAAAATACCATACAACTTTTTGGCTAAACTGGAAGCTCATTCATAGCTCAACTACTGGAGCCAAACATCCTACCAGGAGGGGAAAACATCTTGAAGTCATATATCTACCAATTTTTCTTTATAATTCCGTCTGGAGTGCTCAGCGGTGGTGAAAAGCCCTATAGGTTGTAAAGGCTGAAGCTTAACACCTGAACGTCTTTGAAGCCTGCTAAAAATATACGTAAAATATAACAAAACCTTTCATCTTGAAGACAAGATCTAATAACTTTAAATAAATTGTTATCAATAACATGAAATCAAAAAGGCAATCTGAATAAAATAACATGAAAAGTTTTAGAAAGGCTCTAAAATCCATAATAATAATAATAATAATAATAATAATAATAATAAAATGAAAGTACAGTTTGTGAAAGTAATGGCAGTTGTTCTTGTAGATGTATTGATAATGATAATGATGATGATGATGACAATGTTAATAAAATAACAATAATGTTAATAATAAAAACAATAATGTTAATAATAATAACAACAATGTTAATAACAATGACAATAATAACAATAATGATTATATCAACAATAATATTAATAATAAAAACAATAACAATAATAAATAATAATAAACGATAATAATATTAATAATAAGAAAAAAAAATTAACAGTATAAAAAAAAAAATCTATCAATCTATCTATCTATCTATATATATATATATATATATATATATATATATATATATATATATATATATAATATATATATATTATATATATATAATATAAATAAAATAAATAAATATAAAAATTATAACAATAAAAATAAAAATAGAAATAACAATAATGGCAATAATAATATTACTAATGCTAATAACAATTATAATAAAAACAATTAAAACACCAATAACAATAATTATCATCGTTATCATCATCATCGTACATATCAAATGCTTTTTCTTTTATTCTATTCAAGGAATATGATAATCAGGTGATATCAGTTACCTGCGAGACCTAATGATATGTGTATTTTGGCAAGACAGAGCTTGCAGACCACCCTGGTGATTTGCAGTCACACAAGGACTCATTCCAAGATTTATCTATCTGAATACAAGTAGCAGAGGTTTGTTGGCCTTTGCCAAAGGTATTAAAGTCCACAGCAATTGCTAGACTCAATTTTAGTCAGCTGTAGTTCTAGGTTTAGGAATTACTGTGATTTCTTTGCAACCAACCACCCACTCAAGGAACCATGTCATATTTCAGCCGTCCCTCATGTCAGTGACCTCATGCAGTTAAGCCTGCTCTGAACAGTGAACACAAAACACTTCTTCAATTTGATTACTACTGACAAGGTCACTGAGGAAAAACAGCCCCTAAAAAGTAGACTTAAAGGCTCTTTAAAGCCTTGTTACCAAAACTATTATTTATGCCTCTGTCAAGAGCATCGAGAAAGAGGTAAATTTATCTTTCACAAAATTTTCTGTTGATAAGGTGACACCACATGCATTTCGATGCATGGTTGAGCTCCCATCATGATATGGTTAGAATTTTGTCTCAGTGGAAAATATCATAAAGGTTTCCAATTTGAAAAGCAGGATAAAGCTACCTAACTAGGCAAGCAACTTTCATGCCCATGTGCTATTTGCAATGGTCACTTCCACCACTTATCTAGTAAGAAAAGAACTTGTATACCTTTCTAACATAAAAAATGGAACTAATTTGATCTCAAAAATTGGCAAAAAACAAATGACCAACATTTGTTGGCTTTTGCCTGTTTGCCAACAGGTTTGGACACTGCAATTTTTGCTCAACTCTACCTCACTATCCAATTTTAACTCAACCCATTGGAGCCCGGTGATTTGACCATCATTTCATGAAAAATTTGGTTGAGGGCCAGATAACAAGAATATGCTATCATGTAAAAACTGGGCTGAGGGCTGAGAGTACGCAAAGCTTTTGGAGGGTGATATGACACAGCGGGCATTTAGGAAAGGGCTCTTGCATTATTTCCACCTGTAAATGAGTATAGAATGGACCAACCATGAGCCACAGCTGAAAGAGTACCAGCTCCAAGGAGGACAATATCTGCACACTCAGGAACCTATTTCTACTCACCAATGTCACTGGGTGTGTTACAGAAAAATGAATAATAAAAAATATAACAAAGATGACACAAATAACAAACTGTTACTTATTGTTATTGTTATTGCACAGAACTGTAGACTACCTAGAGAGATGATACGCAAGGAAAACAGTCTATTAACATCTTGATCCAAAGCAAATGGGGTTAATCTTTACAATATGGATGTACATAACTAGAACAAATTGGTGATGACATTCTTTTAGAGGACCAAAAATTGCAGTTGTTGGCACAAGGAATAATATGCTGACAAAAATGGTTGTGCCACAAATACAGAAAAAAGATCATGGAAAGTGCCACTCATAGAAGTCTACTCAGTGCTCCTGAGTATTACCTCTATCTTGCCAAGCATACCCGAGGTGAAAACAATGTTTGCCTGGAGGGTTTTGGTGGGCGGAGCCATGCAACAACCTACCCCTATACACAATCTGGCCGACTTATATTGTAGAAAAAATTGTGACATGCATATGGGGACTTCTCTGGAATTACCATCAAATGGAAAATACAGATGCAGAAAATGTAAAAAAAAAAAAGAAATTAACTTTTGCAGAAAGAGATAATAACGTTGCAAGGAGGCAAGGAGTCTTGACATCGCATACAAGTGTTAGGGTGGGCTGGGCCTACAAGCCACACATCCCAGAGTCATCACTCAAGTAGGCCTGATACCCAGAGTTTGGCCCACAGGTGGGCAGCAAGGCACCTGGATCCAATGGGTTAAGACTGTAGCCCTTCTAATACATAGCACAGCAAATTTCCAATGGGTTTAGAAAAAGCATCGTCAATTACATAAAAAAATGTCTTATTTCTAAAGTAAGCCAGCAGGGTAATTAGTATAATTTGCCAAATGAGGTATGATTGTCATATACCTTCTTTATGAATGAGGAAACAGGCTATAATTGGAATCCATTGTTAAGAAAATGTGCTCGCAAATAGTTGTTAATGTGGAACCAAAGATTGACAGAGTAGCACTGGTAAGCCCAACCAATTGTCATTTTTTACTGCTCTCACAAGACCGACATTGCCATTACAGATAATCAACCCTAAGCGAAATTCACAGCCTAAAATTGCATGTGCAACAAAATGTATGCAATTTCCTACAAATTTTGGTGACTGGTGGAGAGGCAGAGGATGATGGAAGGGTTCAGGGTGACAATATGAAGGAGTACTGAGGGCACTGACGGTTCGGCAAAGGCAAAGGTTCAGAATCATCCTAACTGCAAAGTTACTGCGGTCATTGTTACAGTATGACTATCTTGGCCCTTTCTCTAGAATTCAAAATCAATTTTCTGAAAATACCACATACAACTGTGCCCGTCGCAAAACTAAATTTGTGAACGGGATTCCTCCCCAGTACCAAAAGCAACCTGTGTGAATGAGCTTGAGCAACTTATTACAACCTACATTCAACTCAAGACAGTTTGAATGATAAGGAAGATATCTCCTGAGATTACCCCGCACATAATAAACCATACCGACCAACCACAACACAGAATCCCTTGGGAAATTTTTTAAAGGAAAAAACTTGACATTCATTGTAAAAAAAAAAAAAAAAAATACTGAAATTGTCTGTCAAACGTTAAATACTTTCGCTCTTCTTTATGGACTTATCTTCCACTTTTCCTTTCCCGTTTTTACTCACTCCCACATCCAGCCTGTCCTAAAAATGTGCAAATAAAGGGCGTGAAAAGGGAGATAAGAGAGAGAGAGAAGGGAGAGGACGGTGGGAGGAGCTGGGTCCTCTCCTCCTCCTCTTCCTCCTACTCATCATCCATATTTCTCCCTTTCCCTCTCTTTTCTCTCCTCACCTGAGTCTCCTATGATGAGCAGTTTGAAGAGGTGGTCGTACTCTCTGGCCATGGTGCGCTTTGGAATCCCCCCCACTAATAAAAAGCCCAAATAAGCGTTGTTATGATCTTCTCCTCCGATGAATCATAAAGACTAAAGGAAGTTACGGCTTTGGCTTGTCTCGCCTCCTCGTCCCTGGCGCTCGCCTTATTTTCTCGTCCCTGGGGGTTCCTGGCTCCTCTGTCTGCTCCGGGGGACGCTTTTCTTCCCCCCTGCTCTCCTCGCCCGTTCACACAATTCCCAAAATCCTTAAGTTATTAATGGAGGAATTTTTAAATAACTTTCGATGTTGCGCAGTGATAACTGGAACTCCCCGCGTTCGATTCGCCTACCGAGATCCTGCCTGTCGTCGGAAACGTTGAAATTTCAATATGGTGTAAGTAAATCATTTTTCACATCACTTATTTTACACCGGTCTCATACGATATGTAACTATATATCAATTCACTACTTCACTTATTTTGATATAGTTCAAAACACGTTAAAGATACGTTAACAACTCAAAGGTTCCGAACGCCATTCCAATGATCACTCAGTAGGAGGCATTTGGAAAAAATAATAATTTTGACTTTGAATAACTTATCAAACGTCACAATGCTTAATATAAATTCAAAACTTAAACCTTATCCCCAGTAGATAAGAGTTAATACTACATTACAAGAAAATAAGGGAAATTCACTTCTTTTCTTATCAACACATGATCATATTAACACGATGGAAAATTTTTATATATCTCTTAATAAAATATGTTTATTCTTATTTCCAATAACAGACATGAAAATATTGCATCCTTCAATTACTGTTTCTATTTGATATTCATTAACGGTTCTTATACAAGGTTTTGAAGACCGTGATAATCTGAGGGTTAACAATAATTATAATAACGGTAACATAATGATCTGAAAATAATAGCAATGATATTAATGACAACCATAAAAACACCAGCACATCAACAACAATAATAAGACTAATGACAATTATATTATTTTAAAAATCTTTATCATGATAATGATAATAATAATTATTATTACTCTTACTATTATTTTCATCATTACTATTATTATAATTTTTATCATCATTATAATAACTATTATCATTGACATCATTATGAGTGTTATAATGATAATAATTATAATGATGGTGACTCTTATCAGTATTAGGAGTAGTGTTAGTATGATTATTATCATTATCATTCTTATTATTGTTGTTGTTTTTATTATTATTATTATTACTATTATCATTATTTTCATAATCATTACAATCATTATTAAAATCATAATTTTCTGTCATTATCATCATAATTATTATGATTATTACTATCATTATCATCATTACTATTATTATTGTTCATATTATTATTATCACTATTTTTAGTAGTGATATTATCATGATCATTATCATCATCTACATTGTCATTACTACTGTCATTATCATTATCATTATTGCTATCAATATCATTATCAGTACTGTTATTATTATTATTATCATTACTATTATCATTGTTACTGATGGTTTCATTATCATCATTATTAATGATATCATTATTCCTGTTACTATAATTTTCATTAGTATTTTCAAAATCATAATAATCATCACCATTATTATCATCATTACTATTAGCATTACTATTATTATCATCATCATGATCATTACTGTAATCGGTATCACATTTTATATGATTGATATTATTATTTTCAATTCTATCATTTTTCATCATTTATATTCATTATCATTATCATTGTCATTATTCTCATTATCATAATCATCATTATCATTATTATTGCTGTTATTACTATTATCAGTATCATCATTACCATACTTATCATCATAATCATTATTAGTATCATTATCATTATTAGTATCATTATTATTACTATTATCATTATCATAATCATTGCTAATATTATCATTACTATTGTTGTTATTGATGTACTTATTATCATCATCATTACCATTACTATTATCATCATTATTATTATCACCGTTAATACTATCATTATTATTACCATCATTATAATCATCATATCATTAACATTATTATATCATTATCTTCATAATCATTATCATAACCATTCACATTATCATCATCAGTGTTATTATCATTATCATAACTCATTATTATCATTATTAATACTATTATAATTATCATTATTGTTATCATTTTATTATTACTATTGTCATCATTAAGAATATTATTATCATTATCATCACCATTATTATCATTAATATCATCATTGCAATTATCATTATTGTTGTTGTTATCATTGTCATTATTGTTATTATCATCATCAGTATTATGATTGGCTTTATCATTATTTTGATATTTTGTTTCAATTTTATTTTCATGAGCATTATTACCATATGTCATTATTACCACTGCTGCAATCACCCTTATTATATCATTATCATTATAATCTTTATCATTACTATTGTTATCATTATTACAATTGTTATCATTAT